ATATATGTTACATACATTATATAATATATATAATGTGTAAATAAATGTTTGATTATTCAAACATATTTTTGATGTTCCTGTAAAAAGAACAAAAAAGGACTTCACAATACATGGAGCCTTCCAACCTTCCAAGGTTGTTAAAATGTTGGGGATTATTGAGGACAATATGCTAACCCTGTAAATTGCTTAGAGATGGCTGCAAAACACTGTGAAGTGATATATAAGTCTAAGTTCTGTTGATATATATATATATTAACTGGGACTGGTGAGGTAACAATCACACCACAAATTAGTGGAACAGTGTCATGCTTTTCATTAAATCTCAAATCCAACTTTCTTGTGTTTCCTTCCACAAAATATTATGAAGTTATGGTTCCATTTGTGTTTAGATAAGATCTGCAAGATCTCTTCAAATATCATACAGCAATGACATCTACTCCAAAATAATTTTAAACTATTGCTAGTTTGATCAGAACGCAGAATAACAGACTTGGAAAGAACTTTGGAGGTCTTGTTGTTCAATCCCTGCTCAGGTAGGAGACCCAATCAAACAGGCATAACAAGGCAAAACTCTCCTTCCTTTCCTTCCTTCTTCCTTCCTTCCTTCCTTTTTTCATAATTATACTAGGAAGAATCCTCCCTTAAGGATTCATTGGAATTATCTGCTAGTTATGCAGAGTATGCTTTGGTCTGGCATGATCCCTATGTATGGGTAAGCAGCAGTAACAATAAAACTACTCAGGGCAATTCTGTTTCAATTATCTATTATCTTTTCTCATTAACACAAAATTTATCCTGTAATCACTGATTGAAATATGACACCTTTATATCTTTCTCCTAAGTTTAACACTTAAAATAATATATAATTTTCATTCTGACTCTGCTTAGTACATTCTAAAGCTATGTACTATATTTTAAAATAAGAAAGAATAATAAGTTTATAATATAATTAAAACAATAATCCATAGCAAATTAAACTCTATCGTTAAGTCTTAAGCATTTTACACATTCCTTTTAATATTTTATCCCATTTTATAATCATATAATATACCAATTTTCTAACATTATTTCAAATACAAATACAACAATACAGTCTTATGTACTTTTGCAGAATGTCTTTTTTAATTATATTTTTTACCCATTATCTCTGAATAAATCCTGTTTCTTTACATCTTGTTTCAAACCTTTGTAACTTCTCTTCCCTTTTTCCCTTCCTTTCTTCTCCTTTTTTACCCCCCCTGTCTCTTGATTCCCACCCTCTTAATCTCCACCCTCTTCTATATTCCTCTTTTCTGTTGCTTCCTGACATTGTATCGATTTTCACCTTATTTTCCCCTTTTTTGGTTGTTTTTTTAAGTCTTAAATTCTCCATTCTCTTTCCCCTCTTTCCCCTTTCTTCCCCAGCTAGAGTTGCTTGTTCATTAAAGATGGCTTCTTCTTCATCCCAATCTTCCTGTTCTTGTAGTTTCTGGTAGGTAGAAATCGCCATTTCTAAGAAATGGAAAACAGATTCAGAAGAGCCCTTTCCTTCTTGTTCCTCTTCTTTTAGCTTTTTAAATTGCATTTTCAGTTAATCAACAAGTAATGCCATTGTGAAAAAAAATTAAACAACCCAAATGTTTTTAGTCTTTCAAATAATAATTTCCAAAAGTCCCAAAGTCACCAAGCAATCCAGATACATACAGACTGTTTCATTTAGCACTTTCTTCTTTTTATACTTCTTCTTCCTGGGGTTACAGTTCAGTTGCAAAGTTCCAATTAAAATATATCTTTTAGAAGTTTTGTTACAATTTAGCTCTAGTCTTATAATTCCAAGCAGCCTCCTCCAGCAAAGTCTTAATATTAATTCTTTTCCTCTCCCTTCCCACTTATAGCAAAAAAAAAGTTTTTTCCCCCCAATGATCAGAAATCTTTGTCCCCTTGGCTTTAATTTTCCAATTTAATTACCTGCTGATGCCAAAAATGGGTTTTTCCGATCTCATTCATCTGCTATCACCGTAAGGAAGGAGAGTGAGAAAAAACAAACTTTCCCTTTTTACTTTTGTTCGCCGCTTTTTCCAAGTCTTCTTTGGGAGCGATGTATCTTTAATAAAATTTAAATTCCAGGGTATTTAAATGTTACTTGTTATCCCGGTCAGCCAAAAACTTTCACTTCTCAGCTTCCTCCTGCGCATTCTTATCCGGATGAAAGCTTTTTTTGTGGCGGCCATTGCTGACCGCCGCTCCACTGCTTTTGGAAAAGGGAGTTAAGCCAGCTAAGGAGGGGGGTTGCGATTCTCCTGGACCCCTGCCGGATCTCCCCTGTCTTCAGTTACATCTACGGGGTAACTATAGCCCCCAAATCCGGCTGGATCGGGGGCACTCCAGCGGCGAGCTCAGCAGAAACCGCGCACGATCGCGGATTCCTGCCGCCGCCGAAGCCTTGCAAACCGGAAATGATTTAAACTGAGATGAAATAAATAAAACAGAATTAAGAGAGTGAAAAAAGGGGAGAAGCTATATAGAAAATGTAGAATGGTAAATAAGATATGAAATGGTATATAAAGTGAGCATGAATTCGAATTTATGTCTGTACAAAGAGATGTAACCCGGGATTAAGCCGCTTTCCAAAAAGAAGTTTTATGTTTTTATGTTTTGTGTTTTGTTTGTGTATGTTTGTTTATTGAAAATTAATTTAAAAAATTATAAAAAAAACTACTCAGGGCAATTCATTTTGTTATTCCTGATTCCGTGTGCCTGACAAGCAATAATGCAAAATGAATAGAACCACACTAAGATTCTTACAAGATAAGTATTATCTCATTTTTTATTAAGATTTTATATAAGGGTCATATACATTAGTTCATATAAGGTTCATATAAAAAGAGAAACATTTGGAAATAGAGAGAGATGGAAGGGAGGAGGGACAATTAGTTTTGACTTGTTGACCACAAATGAAATTTCAAAACACTTCATTTTGCTGTTATTTTAACTGGATTTATTTTACACTTCACTTTGCTTTAGGCTTACTGCTTGTTTGAAAACTCAGACTGATGTCTGCTCAATACACTAAATTCAGAGACTACCATTTAAAAATGCAGAGATAAAATGTTTAAAATATATGTGTCCAAAATTAAGAGCACAAATGTTCTATCATAAGAAACCTGTTTTCCTGCTAAGATCTTCCAATGGAGAAGTGTGGGAAAAAAATCACACTATTATGGAATTATATGTAAGTACATGAAGTATATCATTTTAAAAATTAGCATAAAATATAATACATGCATAGCTCTTTAAACCCAAAATGAATATTATGAAATAGTAAATATATAGTAATATATAGAAAATAGTAATATATATACAATAAAATAGTAATATATAGACAATAAAAACAATAATTATATTACATCAAATAATGTTTTTTTTATGTTCTACGCTATATCATTTACATTAAAATATACTTACAATGGAAAAAAGTATTATTGAGATTTAAATGCCAATTCTGAGGGATGATTCCTGGAGAATCAAATAATATTTATTTCTGAAAAAGCAAAAATATTCAATTCACCCACTGAATATAAATGATCATAAAAATGCACAGATAACTGTTTATCAGGGTAGCTGAATCTGAAAATGATTTTTGCATAAGAAATGTGGACAAACATGGAGAATTAGCTTCCAGAAGGCCATTTTGAGTTCACTATTCCTCATGCTGTAAATCAGTGGATTCATGATTGGTGGTACCACACAGTAAAATATTGAGATAAATGGATCTAATTCAGAAGAAGAGGTAGAGACTGGACTGAAATAAACAAGGCTAGCACTTGCCACATACAGACAAATGACTATAAGATGGGGCAAACAAGTAGAGAAGGCCTTTTGCTTCCCTTGAGTAGTGGGGATTTTCAAAACAGCTCTAAAAATCTTAACATATGAAAACACAATTAGAGCAAATAGAATAAACCCTACACAAGAACCAAAGGTAAGTGCCAGCTCTTCTGCAATATAAGAGTCGGAGCAAGAGATCTTAAGCAACTGAGGGATTTCACAGAAGAACTGATTGATCATTCTGGAACAGAAATCCAATCTGAGTAAATTTCCAGTATAGAGTGTTGAAAAAAAGAGACCACTAGTCAAGGCACTAAATACCATTTGGATGCAAGTTCTTTTGTTCATTACTATTTCATAATGTAATGGCTTGCAAATTGCTATATAACGATCATACGCCATGACAACAAGAAGGAAGAGGTGAGATATCACAAAGAAATCAAAGAAGAAAACTTGACAGAAACATCCAGCATAAGAAATAGCTTCAGTGTTCATCAAGGAATTCATCATGGACTTGGGAACTGTGACAGAGATGGAGCCAAGATCTTGGAAAGATAAGTTGGCTAGAAAAAAATACATAGGTGAATGAAGTTGATAGCTATAAAGAACAACAGTGATGATAATGAAGTTTTCAATGAGTACCACCAAATAAATTACTAAAAAAATGATGATATGAAATATCCGAAGCTCCTCAGTATCAGGGAATCCATGCAGAAGGAATTCATCAACTATTGTCTGATTTTCCATTGTACTCCTCAGACTTTGCATTCTGTGGAACTCACACTGAATTAGACTCTTTTTCATACATCACTATTCAAGGTGTACTGGAACACTTTAAAAACAATTTTCTCTGATCTACCATTTGAGACAGAAGGAAACAGGGTTTTATCTATGGGATATTTATAATTATGCTCGAGGGGACTCATTTTGCAAAAACATAGTTAAGTCCATTAGATGCTTGGAACCTTTGTTTATACTAGTTTTTATCCAAAGAACAAGGACTAGATATTTCTTTCAAATTGTTTTAATTGTAATACAAGATATTTTTATGTTCACTTTCATTTTAAAAGTAAAAACCATATGGGAAATGGAGATCTATCCATCTCTCTCCTGTACATACATACATGCACATATACATACAGCCATATTTCCACATTGGCCATGAAGAATTGAAATAGAGACTAGACAAATAGCTGGAGAAAGCTGTTGAATTATTTGAACAAGGGAGACCCAGGTAGCACTAATCAACCTTGATACATCTTTATTAGTACTTCTTAATAAAGTGGATTGATCACATTCATTATTCATTTTATGAACAGTACCATGGATTTGTGCTCTCTACAACCTGTAGTATACTTGTAAGCAAAGCAATACAGTTAATCCAATTTCAATTACTATAACATATATATTAGGGCCCTTAGTTAGCAAAGAATACAAATCAATATTTTCAAAAATCTTTTATTTTAAATTTTAGAATCAAAATAATAGAATGAATGAGCTGAAAGAGACCTTGGGGATCTTCTAGTCTAGCTCCCTGCTCAAACAGGATAAATTATACCAGGGATGTCAAACTTACGACATGTTGTCATCATGTGACCTATTATAACTTTTCCCCCTTCACTAAAGTAGGGGTGGGTGTTGCCAGCATGTGATGTTATTATGGTACGTGTAAAAAGGAGAACTTTAATTACATATCCACAATCTATTTGTTGAGTTTTTGGACCTGCTCCTGCAGGTAACCCCTGAATTTCTCAATTAGTCTTTGAATAAAATACAATTTAAAATGAAATTGGAATAGTATACAATAATTTAAGATATAGATAAAATATGATAAAATTATATCTTGGTATCACCCCTACAATCCACCTGAATCAGTCCCACATATGCAGATCTCAACTGAATCATTTTGCTTAAGAACTGTGCTATGTTAAAAGTTATTTTCATATTCTGGCCACACATAAGGTATGTTATTTTGATATGGGGATCCCAATGGGTCACTCATTCAGTATATAGACCAAGGTACCTATCTCTCACCCTCTTATATAGACAACAATCAAATAGGATGTGAGCCAGGTCTTCTACATCTGCTGATCCACAAATACAGAGGCGTCCATTGTAGGGTATAGAATGGAATCTCCCACATCTGACTATTGTGTCAAGTTCGCATAAATATCTCCCTTAGATGTTTTGGCAGTTGTAACTTCAAATAGCTATTTGAAAAGTATGTTTGTATTTTCTCAGCCATTTCAAATTGCCCACCTTACTAAGGATAGTTATCTCATTTTTTGTTTCTATATCCTTAATTCTTTGGGCAGCTCTTTTTTTAAAATCATTCTCCTGTTATGCATGAGACAGGAAGGCCACAGCAATGAAATTTAATTGGCAATGAAACAATTAAAATTAAATAATTAAAACCACCTGACAAACAAATGTATTCCTTTTGTCTTTCAGTTAAATCCAGTGTAAATGAAAAGTCCAAATTTCTTCTCACATACCTAATATACCTCAGGACTCCTGAATCAAACTAGGTTTCTGCAAAATGAGTCCCCTTGAGGTTAACTGTAAACACTGTATAGATAAAGCTTTGTTTGCTTCTCTCTTACACTTCCAATATGAAGAAAATTATTTTCAAAATATTCCAGTCTGGCTTGAATTGGAGTACATGGAAAGGAATGTGATTGTTCAGTTTTTTTCCACATACTGCACAGCAGGAACAGCACCATGGAAAATCAGTCAAGGAATGATGATTTCCTTCTGCGTGGATTGCCCAACACTAAGGAGCTATGAATATTTCATGTCATCATTTTTTTAATTAATTTATTTGGTGGCTGTCATTGAGAATCTCGTTATCATTACTGTCATTTTTTATAGCCATCAACTTCATTCACCCATGTATTTTTTCTAACCAATTTATCCTTCCAAGACCCAAGATCTCTGTCACAGTTCCCAAGTCCATGCTGAATTCTTTGATGAACATTGAAACTATTTCTAATTCTGGATGTTTCTGTCAAGTTTTCTTCTTTGTTTTCTTTGTAATGTCTCATCTCTTCCTCCTTGGTGTCATGGCAAATGATCCATTATATAGCCATCTGCAAGCCATTACATTATGAGATGGTAATGAAAAAAAAGTCTGCATCCAAATGATAACTACTGCATGGATAGATTGTCTTTTCTTTTCAACTCTCTATATTGGAAATTTATCTACAATGGAGTTTTGTTTCAGAATTATCAGTCAGAATTTTCTGTGAAATTCCTCAGTTGTTCAATATCTTTTTCTCTGACTTTTATATTGTAGAAGAAACATAGACACTCATCTTTGGTTCTTGTGTAGGGTTGTTTCTTTTTGCTTTGATTGTCTTTTCATATGTTACTTGTTTGCCCCACCTTATAGTCATTTGTCTGTTTATTGTTAGTGGTACCTTTGCATACCTGAGACACACCTACAGCTCCTGATCAACATAAAATCTCTTGATTTCTTTGTTCTACAGTGTGGTAATGTTGGGAGAAATATCCTTCTGGGTTCAGTTCCAAGTGGGGAAAAAGACACTGGAAACATGGAGGCTGTTTGGAAGGTTTAATATCAGGACCACATGGCTTGGAGCTCCAGAGTGAAAGGGAAGGATGATCAAGAAAAAGGGGCTGAGGTGCTGAGAGTGCCTGGAGAGAGTAGCTGTCCTGAGTTCCAGGCTTGGGTGAGCCTTGCTGGATGATTTATGCCCTTAAAAGGGCTTTTGGCAATTCTATAGCTTTGCCTGGAGATCTTTGTTATGTAAAGGCCCAGGCTTTAATGGCCCACCCATTAGCAAAGGTGGGGTGAGTTTCTGCTTCTGAGGTGAGTTTCTGCTTCTGAGTTTCTACTCTTTTTAGAGGAAATGTTCTGCCTTTTTAATATTTCCTAGGCTATTTCAATTTTCTAGGAGAGGGGTGGGTGCTAACTTCCTACAGTACCACCACTCATAAACCCTCTGATCTATAGCATAAGGAACCATGAGCTCAAAATGGAATTCTGGAAACTAATTTTCCATACATGTTCATATCTCTTCTCCAAAAATAATTCTATTTAGACTATAGACTAAATATAGACTTGTATAAATATAATTTTGAGTTATTCACAATGGAGGATATTTTTGGGAGTAAATTTATCTGGTTCAGTTCCATGCTGGGAGAAAGATGCTGGAAATAAAATGGATGCTGGAGGCTGATTGGAAATAAACTCCATTTATTGATGAACAGAACCACCAGCATTTGTGATTCTGGTGCAGCTGACCAACTGGTTTACATGGGCTCTTTATACAGTTTTTACAGCATTTTGTAATCTGAAGGCTTGTCTTGTGTGTTTTTATTATTTGATTAGTTCTACTTGTTTCACAAAGGCTCATAATGGGTCTTAATTATCACTTCATTAGTCCTAATCCTGTCAGGCATGTATAATTGATTTTATCCTGTAATCTATCTAGCCTGCCTTTTTAATGGACACATATTTCTTCCACTTTTCTCAATGTTTTGTCCTTTATCCCATCACCCTGGAGCTGAAGTTCTTTTGTCTTGTGAATAGGCTGGCCCAATCTTTCTTACTGGGCACAAAATATTTGGTAGGGGCTATTAAGAAAGATTGAGTCTGCTTTCTGTCTTTAAGAGTATGTTGCTCCATTTCTCCCTTTAGGGAAATGTAATATTCTTCCTTTTTAATATTTTCCAAAATATTTCATTATTCTGGGGTGGGGGACTTCCTACAATATAATCTATAAATACCTCAGTTTTTCAAGAATTTCTATATTGAGACTTTGGACTTTGAACCTGAAGAAAAAGTTTCTTTGAGGCACATATTGTCAACTTAAAAAAAAATCACTGTGCTTTTAGTCCTAATTTATTTCTGCATCCATTGAGGGATGGTTTGATTTGAACTGCACATATATTTTGGTCTTTATACCTTTTATGTACATAGTCCCACTGCCTTTGAATTACAAACTTTGGGAATGAATGTGCAAAGGTATTCAGATTGAAAACAATGTCTTTTACAATTTGGACACTTTTTGTTTAAAATTTGTCAGTTAGTACCATAATGCCCATCTATGACTACTCTGAAAGCCATTTGCTATCAAATCTAAAATGGTGCCTAGCCCTATTTTATTTTGACATAACTGGGGAAACTCCATTGTAGTTCAAGAGGGAAATTGTTATGTTTGAAGAATAAGGAGACCAGACATCTGACCAGTGACTTCAACTCTTTAATAATAACAGGAATATGAATAGAACAGAGCAAACTCTATGGGCAGCAGTAACCCTTTTATAGGGTTGGCTGCTACCCTATTAACCAATAACCTTTGTGATAAGTTCAAATAATAACCAATAAGGAGTGGCCTCATCCTGACCAATCCCTGTTCTTCGTTGTTTGAGGACCAATCAGGTGTGCAGGCCTTCAAACCCTACTTTGTATTTTATGCTAGTTACTTTATTGATTCATAACACCCCTCCCCCTTGGCTCCGTTTGAGGGGAGCTGTAACAAAATCCTCAAGGTAGACAGGCCGTTTGGTCTGTCTAGATGATTTCCGTGGCTCCACCGGGTTTTGCCCAAAGTCCGGTTCCGGTGGAGCGTTTGGATAGTCTCTATTTTGTTCCGTTTCGCTGCACGGTGCTTCCATGCTGCTTTCGTTGAGGTTGTTTCTACTAACTAATGGTTCTTCGGGGTTTTGCAGTTCGGATTCCCCCAAGTTCAAGTCCCCTGGAGAAATCAACTCCCTCCCCG